AGCATCATTGTTGAATCCGCCAAGGAATGGGATTGGCCCCTTCAACATAATGATGAAAGTGTAAAAGTCACTGAGGATGATAAAAGTTTCCGAGTTGAGTTGGATGCGCAGTTCTTCATGCCAAAAGAAATTTCGGTAATTCTTTCTGCTATGCAATATTCTTTCATTACATATTCTTCTCAAATGCTCAATGACGTACGCCGGACTTTAGGTCAAAACAATTGGAGACCAAATTCAAATCCAGATGGATCATGAAGCGCGAGGTAACGATAAGACGAATGTGAGCAGAAGCATTACGAGGTATGTATCTCATGAATTGAATGATGGCAGAAAGTTTACGTCAAAGCAGTTTCGGATAGGAATTTCGAAGAAAAACCTTGAAAATTGGATTCATACATGTATAGGCATTTCTGATAACATAAATCCAATGCTTAAACTCTAAGCTTATATTATTTTAACTATGGCATAAAGATAAGTCTGAATTAATTGAAACTTTAAAGTGATAAGTATTGCTTTCTTTTGCTTATTTGGATCAGTTAGGATAATCGCTACTCTTGCATAGCGCTGATTGTGCCATGTTCGAGCCAGAGATAGATTGGTTTGACTAGTCCCAAATATCTTTATTTAAGAGCTCTTCGAAGCAGACACCTTCGGCGCTGTATTTCAATTTATAGGTAAACGCCCAAATAAGAAAAGTTGCATTATAATTTCGAACACGCTCTCCTTAGAAGCTCAAGCTCCTGGTGCACAGATTTAGGAATTTTTCACTTCTATATACTACATTACAAAGTATTTTTAGATTGAGTTTCTCGGATAAAACATCCACAAAAGCCTCTATAAGTTACTTCTGAAATATTGCGATTTGTTGAATTCGGTAGATTTTGAAACTTCACTGCTTCTAAAACTGATTAAATGTGCTAGTTATTTTTTAGCCCGCATCCCGTTTACCAGTAATTTTTTAGGAGCTACCAACTTCCCCACAATGTCGATACGAAATCAATTAAGAGCAACCTTGACGAAAAAGGCGTTCTTCACATCAGCGCACAGAAGCATTAGAACAAAGAGCTTCTGCCTACATCGATCCGATGTGTATACAGTCATTGATTTGATCATCATAAATTTTTAAAGACATGTGAAAATGATGTTTCCTTCTTTCCTACCCCTCTTACTTTTTCATTGTCACCGTTCGTGGGAGTCAAATGTAACTTATATGTAAGTAATCTATTGCTCACATTCAGTGTTCTGTATTTGTAATGCCATTTCATAACTTGTAAGCTTGCAAATGGATTAATAAACAAAATTGAGTGGGATTTTAGAAAATAACAAACAGATATTGATATGTTCAAGCTGAAAACAAACTGCTCAAAAGAGGTAAATCTGCGCACGACAACATTCAGTCTTTATAACGACACCGGATTTTGAATAAATGATTAAGGGTAACACCAAAATAAGGCAACACGAGAGAAGTTGAAACTTGGAAAACTTATAACACAACACAGATCACTTATTATAGACTCATCTCTATCTCACGCATAGCAAACCCAATCTTCAAATTACAATCATTCCTCATCAATAGTTTTTGCAAAGGCACATTAGTTTTTATGTCATCGAGAGTAAAGCAGAAGAAAACCAAAAAATTAGCATGTCTCATTGACTGGGTAACCTGAAACAGAGTTGAGTATATATTATTGTTTCCTATTTTTTTCAAAAGCACTAAATCGCTTGAAACTG